ATTCACCTCGTTAGCAAATCATCTTCATCAGGACGTCATGGTAGAGTATTACTGGTTGAACCACCCGAGACCTCGAGCGAATCTTCGAAGTGCTTCACCGACAGAAGAGAACCCGGGAAACGCGCTACGTGATCGGACTACGCTAAAACTCGAAAACAGAAGAAGATCTTGGACCCTATGAGAAACGGAAGATTGAGAGAGGAAGTGTGATTCCTGCTCGTCGACAAAGGAATTATTGGATAACAGTGATATATCTTGTCGAGCACTCGCAAGGTATAAAGGATCACCTCTCTATGAGATCAATGATCCGTGACTTTCTGCAGTAAAGCTTATCGCTGGACTCTCTATCATTCGTCTCTTCCTTTTTTAAGCGATCCATAAAATTATCTTAAATATTTGTAAAATTAAAGAAGCTTGTATTGTGATATATTTAGGAAAAGACGTGTAAAGATATTGCTTATATAAGTAAAAGATATAACAAATACTGCTTATATTTATAAAATATATATGTAATCTTGTCCACGTCAACGATGGAAACTTAAAACTTGCTTTTAAATAATAAATACGTTAAAAATAGACATTTTCTCTATAACAATTTTCTATTTGTGCAAAACTATGCGAAAAGTTAATTGTAAATTTAAAATTAAGTAACAAATGCTGTCAAAGCGCATTCCGGTTTTAATATTAAATATACAGCAAAAATACCGTTAAACGTTGGCAACGTTCGAGACGAAAAAGGAATGAGTAACCACTGTAGCTCGATAAAACAAAAGCAAGCGAAAACAAGCGAAACGCAATGTATTCTGCAACCGGAAACGCGTCACGAGATCTTAACTATTCAATGAACGTTTGTTCATTCACGGTACGTGACGATGCATTATCCGTCTCCACGTACTTCGACAAACATTTATCAATGCGACGGAGCTCTCGATATCGCGTCGTTTCGCATCGTATATTGTTTGCGACGTGATGATTGGAAAAAATCTCATAGAAGTAAGTATTTCTTGACATTCTTTGTGAGAAGTAAAGACGCACGGCCGCACAGTTTACTTCAAAGCGTTAGTTAGCGGTAACCTAATAACGATAATCGATCGACGAAGCGTCAAGCGCCTTGGTCGCCATCGAGAATCTCATGACGTGAGTATTTTTTTACGGACACTGAGGAAAAGGATCCCTCTTTTTGTATCCACAAGCTGGAAAAAATTTTCGAAATATCGAGATGCCAAGCGTCATTCTCCAAGTTCAGTGGCGAAGAAAATGGCCTTGAAAGAATTTTCAATCCGTCGCTAAAATAGATCGGCGATTTTAGAAGTTATGTAGATAGTGTAGGAGTGAATATATTAAAACATGTCATTCAAAAGCAGAAAGTTAAGTTATTTTATCAAATTTCGAACTAATCAAATTTCAGCAAATACAACAACTAGTTTAACCCATGTTTAAAGCAGCTTTTTTCTTCAAGACACACTGAGAAAAAATAGGAAATAATTATTCCAATTACAAACATTTTAAATTTAGAATTCTGTTATTATTATATAATAGAATAAACTTCACTAACAATATGTCATTAGTATGAATTATTGCTTCTAATTTTGATAAAATTACTTTTATCGAAAAGTTTATCCTTAATTCGATAATCCTCGAGATTATCGATGTTTCGATGTGGCAATTAAATTCATTAAAAAATTACAGATTATGTTATAGTTATAATATCGTTGTCGATACATAGAAAAATATTATATACTATTTTTATTATTTTATAAATTATGCAATGTTAATATAGACTGTAATTTTTGAAAAAAATATTGACATATAATATTCATATGTAATATATGAGTGATATAAAATCGCGAAGATAAAGGAAAATTTGTGGTAACAGGACGTCTCTGTCGTCGCAACGCACAATAATCTTTTCTAGCATAAATAAAAAAGCTACGTGTAGTATGGCTTAAAAAAAATTTACAATTGTATATCAGAAAAGTTACTGAAAATAAGACTTCTATCTAGACAGTGATATAAAATGCTGCATTAGAATAATTATTCTTTTATTCATATTGAGTTAATAATAATTAAATTACACAGACTTTTAATCCGCGTACATACACTTTCACGAATTATTGTTTAAGTTCACAAAACAAAATATTCAATTTCTTTTTTAATATTAATATAATATTTTAAATCTTTAGCAAACAAAAAATATAACTTTTTATTTAAAAAATGATCCATCCATTTAATAAATGACATAAACGATACCAATCGTATCGATAATATTCTGCTTTTTCAACTTATCGTTAGTGCAGAAACCGTAATCGCTTAATGGTAATCGTCAATAGAATTGTTCGTATCGATAACAGGACTAAATCGAAGAAGAACTCCTAATGATACATCTCACTTTTCAACAGAGTGATAGATCATCTTTGATCGCTTCCCTCGAGACTTTCATCGAACCGCTGAGATCAGACATTAATCCTATACGTTTCCAGTCCGTAAGGAATAAACGTCAGGCTTTAAAAGCGAACGGGACTAAAGTCGCTTTACGGCTTGGTAACGAACATAAATTAGACAAGCTCGTAATGATTCATCTGCGAACGTAATAACGTGTACACAGCTAGTACCGTGTCAATTAAATATACAAAGAGCGACACGCGCTTATGGACAGAACTTGACAAGACGCTTATTTCGCCGCGGACAGTGCTCTTGTTAAGTCTGGTAAATCCGATCGAATGACTGTTATTCGAGAGTCCTAGGGTTCTCGCATTCAGCAGAGTACTTTAAACGACAGCGATGTTGTTTCAGAAGGGCGAGACGATCGATAAAGGATTTCGCATCCGATCGCGCAAATACACGAGAAACGTCGACACAGGCAGGCGTTCTATACCGCGCGACCCGCGCGGCATCGACTCTCCTGGGAAATTATGTAAGCGTCGATAAAAAAAGCATTCATAATTTACATAGGTCCCAATTGCGCATTTCAGCTACCAACCCATTGAAAGAGTATCACTTTCAAACATCGTGTATATCCCACATCGCGAATAAATAAAAAAGCACGATGGAAAATTACGCTTTGGTTCTCTATCGCGATTGTGATTTATTTAAACGTAGAAAAACATCTGAATAAAAGTGAAGTCATCGTTGGCAGTTCGTTTGAAAACAAAGATGTGCGAAATTCTTTTCGAAGTGTTCAGGCTATGCGTAACAAACAATTCGCCAACCAGAACGCTACCGTTTGCTGACTTTATTAGCGAGATTAGTCATTCGAGTCACGTCTCCAAATTAACGTGTCACTCATTATTTAATAAGAAGCTCAAAATAAGTCGTAAGATGAGTATATATAAGAACGTAAAATGTCGCACAGTAATTCAGACCGAACTTCAGCGCTTATTAAGTACGATTTATGTCCGGCGCAACGCAATGAGATTCGCGACGTACTTCGCAATTGTTTTCGCGGTGCTTAACTTCATTAACGCCCTGCCACTTCCGCAATTTGACGATGGTAAGTTAGCTTCAACTTTATCCGATTACCAATTACTTACAAACTCTAATCATAGTCACAATTTTTAAATTCACAGATTTGCAAAATTTGTAGTTTGAAGATTATGACATACTAATACTCCTGAGAACATTTTCCAAAGAGAAATCTTGTGACTATAAAAATTAATATAATTCTATATATAGAAAAATTTATATTTTCATACATTTTAACCCTATAATAAAAAGAAAGGACTATAATATATATTAAAAAACTTAATTCCCTTTCTAAAGAATTTTTTTTACTAAATGAAAATTTAGATACAATAGTAATATAAATATATTGGTGTAATATCAGCGTATAAAGAAATGAAGTAAAGAAATTTGTTTCAGTGTTAATGCATCCTGAATAATGTGACTAAAGATACTGCATAGTTAATATTGTAATCTTCATCTTACAGGCGGTCGAGAAGAATTAGCTGCCAGAGACACGGCATACTACGGATTTCCATTCTTCTGGTACAGGAGACCTATCTATGACGACAATGACGATGACATTGTTAACGGAGGTCAAATTTTAGAGGGAAAGCGAAGATCATCTACTGTGTCTTATACTCATGTCGGGTAAGAAACATAATTGAAATTAATTTTGTAGATTTTGATTACGTATCCTCTATTCAATCTCGTTGCTTAAAAACACTCATTGTGACCGCAAAATTTACTATTTAAAGAGGAAGATATACTCTGTTGAGCATTTTATACGCATGTTTGTAAAGAAACATTAAACACCAAGTGGAAAATTTTTATTTTTATGGAACTCAAACTTCTGGTTCATTTTATTTTTAGTTCTCGTAATGAGCAATGAGCATCACATGCAAAACAAGCATTTTTAATTAAAAAGATGTCAGAGTATATTTAAGTAACAAAAAGTGAGCATTTAAGTTAAACACAACTATTATGAAGCGACTAACATGAAGAAAAATTATTTCTTTTAATAGTGCCGGCTGGGGTCGTTAAGAAGAAGCAGTTAGAACATTCAAGCGTAAATGTCCAGGGAACTTCACTAACTCGAGCTAACAAGCTGTATCTAACTTTTATATAACTTTTATATAGTATCTATTATTTAAAAGTTTATATAATGTATTATTTTCTACTATTTTCTTATTATTTTAAACATGTAAGAAATTTCTTTTTTTCCTAATACAAGTCACAAAAAATACAAGTGGCTCCTTTATATCTCTTGGTATTGTAAGCAAATTTCCTTATTAAATAAATACGATAAAATATAGTAATAATATTATTTGATACATTTCACGAATATCTAAAACTACAATAATCTTGAAGATCTCCGTCATCCCCCCCCCCCCCCCGAATTTATTTAAGAGGTTATCTCAATGAGTGGATAAACAATAATTAGTTCCCGCGGAAGGCTACAACTGCTGCAAGGACTCCATCACCTGCTAAACACATGGTCAAACATTTGCCTACATTGCAGCAGTATATATAAGCGATTGTGCGAAATACTAAAGGCCAGTGTCAGCTGTAAACTGAGAAGTAACAGAGCGTCAATTATCAATGGAACACCGCAGTCGTTTTCATTTTGTTCTCGCTCTAATAGGAACGATCGCAGTCACGTCAACACCTATAAGCAATTTTGGTAAGTAAACTTTTGAGTTAGATATCTGAAACGATATCTTAAAGAATCAAGAGTTCTACAACTCTTTGGAGAAAAGCCAGAATTCTATCAATTACTATCCAAAATTCTAAAAGTGGAATGCTGACGTTATAGACTTCCAAAAATCGCAATATTCGACGGATACTTGTCCACAGTGCCAAGAACAAAGATATTTTCAAATATTTGGAACTATTTGTAAATTATCGCGGATAAAAGTAATTATTCCATCTCTCAACTAACAAGAACGTTTGCAATGGCAATGTAGGGCGCAGAACTGTCTGGCAAAACGTCGGAAGACATAGTTTCTACGGACCGTGGGATATCTCGGTAAAACGAAACGGGGAATATATCGATTACAACGATTATGGTGTTCACCTCGAACAGTTCCGGCCTAATTCACCGGAGCTGCCATACGACGACGTGTCGATAGCTAACGGATATATTGACGCGTTGCCCTCGGATTATAGCGGTCTGTCGCAACTGAACACGCTACTCAGCTCTGTGGGCCTTGCTGATTTCCGCACTGGAGTTCGCCCTGCTGATTGGATCGACCGAAGTACCGATAGCTTGAAAGAACAGCATTGGGAGGATATTGCTTCTCACGAAATCGATGAAGATACGGAAGACTTCGACGATTTTGTGACTCCAATTGCAACGAGATAACAAAATTTTGTAAAGTTAAATGAAAAAAACAAAATATACATAATAAACTTTGCATATGCGATGTTATCCAAGTTTGTGACATTAAATTCATGAAGAGTTAAAATAAATATCGTTTCAATATTAATATAAATTTTTTTCAGTGTTAATTTATTTTATAACTAATCCTATCTCAGCACAATTTAAAATATAATTTTATCTGAAAATTTAAGAAACCTAAGATTATACACTACAAAAACGCTCTCTGAGAGTTGCGCTTTCATATTTCAGAAAACAATGCCAAAGAGATAAACACTATCTTTTTTAAGACTTGATCATAAATCCGACAATTAATGACGGTGGATTAATGAAACCGGAGGTCATCTTTAACCGTACGCGTACTGATTTTGAACGCGACAATCTTAACGAGTCCTTTGTCTTTAAAGTCGCTGTGTAGGCAAAGGTGGCGGCACGTTTCTCCAGAGACGACGACGTTGCCAGACAAAGTCGGAGAGGGTATATACCAACTCGCCGGGAAACCTCGCGACTCTCAGTAACGCAACGCTTAAATGGAGATTCTCGTGAATATTTAACGTAGTACTAAGAGGATGAGCTTTTCCGAAAGCTCAGTCGGCCGGTACAGAAGCGAACGACGAAGTTGCTCGCCTTCTTTTATCCCCAGTACTCGTTCCGCAAAACAAGTTGTAGTCAACTACAAAGTGGGCGCGGTTCCGCTTTTTTTCTTTCATATCAAGTGCGAACAAGTGCGAACAATTGCGGTTCGAGTACCGTCACGCGATTTTTATCATTATAGCTTATTACGCTCGCGGAGATTAACAAATATCTTTTTTACATTGTACAAAATTTCGATAATTGATAATTAATTTTAGTAAAAATTATATTAAAACATCTATCTTTCACACTTTATTACATTGTACGTATTCATTATTTCATCGTTTGTACCATTGTAACGTTCCAAGCGACAACAATAATTCTGCTCGCACAAAAACTGCAATGCATAAACTGTACTGCATCAGCGATAAAAGAAGAATTCCATGCAAAATAACCCGCAATCGCACACCTTTGACTAGTTCCAAATTGCACTTTCTCATCATGCAATACAAAATAGTGCGCCCCACGGCTACAATCACACAAATAAAAAATCAGGGGCGAAGGGTAAGGTAAATGAACGACAAGGAACGTGACAATACAGCAAAATACACACGTCGATGAATACTAGCACGAATCCTATGTTTTGTTCTGGAAAGAGTGAGCGAAACATTGCGGAGGGAGGGAATGAATATTCATATAGAAGATTGCACACTGATTAAATGCAAATTAAATTAATCTCTTTTCCAGCTGACCAAATGGTTCGCGGGGTATTCGTTAATTTGGGCGCGGCTCAAATGCCTCCGTACGTTTAAGCACGCTCCTCCTCCCGAGATTCATGAGATTACCACCATTTACCTCACTGCATGTAAAGTAACATCTCCATCGTTCCTATTTTATTTATTCACCATTAATTACCGAAAGCGCGAGAAAATTATGTTATCAATGTTTTATATATGTGCAATTTCTAGATTATCTTAGGTTAAAAATTAGCGAAAACTTAAGTTCGGTTTTCTACGCCTATATTCTTTTTAATTAGATAGAGAAATAAATAAGTTTCCGTTTGGCGTACTACAATAAAATTCGTTTAATTTAAATGGACCATTGATTTTGACAAAAGACACCTTTATATTTAAACGCTAGACCGAGTGACCACGCGAATATCAAAATACTCAAAATATATTTAGTGCTACTCTCAATTGTCCCTTTAACGTGTGCCTACATGCAGCAAACACGTTTTATTCTACTTGGATTAATGTTGACATCTCACATTCCTCAGGCCGACAGTTCTGACTTAATTTCCCGTCGACACGGAAATAACAAAGACGAATTTTGGTCGCCATCTCCACGGACGTCCACCAAGAGACTGCGCAAAATTTAATTCCTACCGTGAGATTTAATGCCGTTCCTTGACGCGCGAGCAAGCCCGTAATACTCGCTGATACGTTTATGCCGCGCGAATGAGAACGCGACGAGATGGATTTCAATTAAGTCAACGCAGACAATGAATTATATTCCTCAGTTCCTTCGAAAACGCTGGTTATTATTGCAAAAACGTCGTCAAGGTTGACTGTCCACGATTAAAACTTTGACGTCCAATAAAATGCCTTTGCACAAAAAATTTAAGTAAATCAAGTAGCTTCAAGATAGATTAGTTTTAGGAGTTAAAATTATGTAGTAAAAATGTCTTTTATATATAAAGATAAAAAATCGTATATTAAATTATTTTCACGTATTTTTAACTTATATACCTATATCAATATATCTGTATTTCAAAAAAGATATCCCGAAATATAAATTTTAAACAGCAAAAAAATCATCTTGAAATGGTTAATGTAAGCAATTCGCGCGTGAGAAGTAGAAACAGAGACAGTGTAAACTGAATCACGATGTTTATTCGTGGGATTCCTCATTACACCGCACCCTCATCATTTTATTAGCGAGCTTGTTTCCGTAATCACGTTCTTAAACGGAATGACTATCGTTTCTCCGCCAAGCGAAGGAAAAATCACCTACAATACGTGGACATGATAAACGCATGCTCCCGTCACCTTTCGATCCCTCACGGCCAAAGATAGTTCCGTGGTACGGTTGCCAGTAGAATAGAGGAAGATTTATGGCAAAAAAAAGAAAGTACCGCAGTCCATTTGTACGGCTTCTTGCATCTCTACATTCTCCCATACGCTCGTCATGAATGCCTGCAAATCTCTCAACCTTCGCGCAGTTCTTTTACCAACGAATCGGAACGGTGAGGCCAGCGACGGCCAAAGTGGCCTCTTTATCAGGACCTCGTGATTTGTCAACCGAACTTTGTTGGTGAGAATATGGTGAAGTGCAATAAAGACTCCCGACGGTGATGCCCTAAACGTGTTTGGAATTGCTTACTCCGTCTTTCACTTCTACCTGCATCTAACATAAGTACCAATGACTAATCACCGGAAAGATAATGAAAAAAGCAGCAGGTACAGCAAAGTGGATATCTCTACATTCCAGAAATACTGTCTCCCCAATTCAAGATTATTTTGGTGATAAAAAGAAACGCGAGACGGAAAGTATGATAACGCGGCTGCTACCAGACGTAATTATTTCATTTAAGATATGTAATATATATTCTTTCCACGTAAATCTTTTCATATTCGAAATAACATTTAGCAGAATTTATTAATATAGCATTTCCGCAATGTGTGATTGTAAATTTAGTTAAAATTTGCTCAATAGTAAAATTAGCGAAACAAACGAACAGAGACGAAGACGTAAAAACTAATAACGAACGCGTTTTCATTTTTTACATAAAAATTGTGCGGGCATAACTTCTTAGCCGCTCTTTCACGCCGCATTTGTTTATAAAGAGATTGACATTCCACCGAGAACAGCGAAACGCGATCCTATTCGCTCTAGCCATTAAGACTCGCGTCTCGAAGCAGGTGAAATGACATGGAAAACGAAATGCAAATTGCTTTTCTTTTCGATTTGACCGGGTGTGCAGTGTAGCGCGCGATTTATCGAGGATTCTGTATGCAACTACGCTCCACGATGGCATCTGCAACTTTTCTCATACATATTTTTCGCGCATTGCAAACGATACGGCGATACGTCGTCGTCTTCTGAAAAATTTGTTCTGTCTATCGGTTGACTGACGATTTGGGACTGGCGCGGAGAACATCGTGCGAATAGAAAAAATCGTTAAAAAACTTTATACTTTGTATCGCGAAAACTTTTTTCAACTTTTTCATAATTTTTTAATAATTCGTATTTTTAATGTTTTATATTATATGTCGACATTATATTCTGTATTCTGCTGATACGCGTACGTTAAATTAAAAATATTTGAAAGTATCAGGTATCAATAGCTTTCCACAAATATACGCATACAACATACCATTTATCGATTACACAGAACATCCTCAATTATTTTCTAGTGTTTGTTACGAGAACAATATCTAAAAATATCGAGGCGTTCAATTTTCCATACAACGTAAAAATAGTGATCCAAGAGTAGAAATTATTTTTGAAATTGTGAGTAAGCACATCAATATTTTCAAATGTGCACATATTTTAAAATGCGCATAAATTGTAAATTTATAATTTTTACTTTCCAATGTGCTGGCTAATTACTTTATCGCTCTTAATCGACATATGCTAGTAATTCAGTACTTATAATTAATGCGTGACGGGTATTACTTAATTAATCCCTCTCCAATAAAAAATAACAGAATTCGTTTATTCATTAAAATCTTTTATCCGACACTCATAACGTAAAGTGTTATGTATGACGCGATCGATGTATCTGTTATTTTTCCCATATAATAATTATGGATATTTACAATTTTACGCGCACAATTATCTTCAAATTATTATTATTCATGAGCACTGTTATATTTTAAATTATAAATTGTTGCCTCATTAATTCATAATTTTAATATTAATATCAATTATACGCCAGATAGTCGTAGCTAATATCGTTCGCGATAAAATTATAACACAAACGACGACGGCAATTTCGCGTCCGACGAAAAGCGTGGACAGTGTACCGTATACGTGGATCGATCCCCTCATTATATCGCTATACAAATACACAGACACACATGGCGCGCGCGTTGTTATACACCCGCTACGTATAAAAATATGTAAGCCCTATAAATGCAGGTATGACGTACGTATGATTTACCTGCGCAAGAAAATAGTTTTTTAGACGATATAGATTTTCGTTGACGCAGCGAGTCGACGAAGCGCAACGATCGCAGCACAATTATAACTATCGATTCCACTGCTATTTATACCGGTATTCATCCGATACCTCGTATTAAAAGACCGTTTCATTTTTTAAATCAGGTAAAGTTTACTTTAACTTTCAATGCGCAGGAAATACCTATCAACCAATTCCCGCCTATCATCGCGCGCGCACGGACATTTATCTCTATACATTTGTATCTTATTTCATCTGTTATATTCCCGTACTATGTTCAGTTATCTTAAGCACTCACCTTGCGAATAGATCGGAAACTCTCCGTCACTG